TCTATGACAAACTGGCTGGTCTTCGCTACGAAATGGACTTAGAAACAGCACGCGCAAACTATCCAAACAGATTAGAGAGGTTAGAAGAAGAACGTCTTATGGACATGCCTTTCGATGTTAACGAGCCGCAAGTTGAAGGACACGACGGCTTTGCCAGATTCTACTGGAAACATGACGAACAATTGCATCCTTTGAGAAGGAAAAAAGGAAAAGGTGAAGACACACATGCTCCCATGGAAAGAACAAGATATGCATATGAGAAGTATCGTGAAGTTAGAAGTCAAATTACTTCTGGTCGAACCTTTACAGTAAACTTTGACGAAGGAAAGAACAAAGAAGGCTTCATGGGAGTACTTGCTGCAATTCAAGATGGAAATAAGAAAGGATACAATCTCAGACTAACCGTAACAGATTTAGATGGTCACATTTACTATGCGCATGGCAATGAACAAACAGCTGCAAAACTTCTTGACGCTTTCAAGACTACAAAGAGAGAACAAATGGTTGACTCCGACTCCGATATTTTGAATGCAATTGAAGGAATTGCAAGTGTCAAGTTCGAATGGTACCAACGTAACCCTCAAGCAGTCAGACAACATGCTGGATACTTCCCGTTCATAAATAAGTCTGACATTGACTTGACAAGGTATGGAATTTACAATTCAATTGAAACAATTGTCAATGAACCTTGCATTCTTACATGTCTCAGGAACTCTGGTCTTGTTACAGATGAGAAGATGAAGTATCTTGAGTCATGTGTGAAGACAAGGTACATGCTCAGAGGTCAATTGGCAAAAGTTGCACCGTTGGCAAATGTGAATATCCGAGTCAACATACCGACTGAGAAAGGTTCTTCACATGACGACTATGTTGTTGACTTCAAATTGCCATGGTTGAAGATTGTAATTGTCCACAACCACTTCATGTTGAACGAAAGTCTTACAAACCCATTGTTCGGAAAAGGCAAGTGCAACATTGTCAGAGCTGTTAACATTCTTTTCGAGAAAGGCTTGTTGGAACCAATTCCAGATGACAAGCTGACAGAAACTTTTGTACCAAAAGACGAAACAAACTTTTCATTGTTAGCAAGACCAAAAGTTGTTCCAGACAAAGTTCTAGTACAAAAGAAGTACACAATTCCAAAAGGAGTTGGATTGTTCGGATACCAACCTGAACCAGAAGAACTTCCAATGAGGTTGCAAGAACTTCAAGATGCTATAAACAAACTTCCATTGAGACATCCAATCGACGTCAAAATTGTATTGGAGAGCTTCTGAGTTAGGTCAGAAGGTTTTATATGAAACAGGTGCTTCGACGATGTTTATGAGATAACAGGAGAAGTTTCTCAGAAGATAAGAGACTCACTTGAATTTCCACGAACTGGACCCATTGGATGCGACAAGTTCGACTCATATGAAAAAATATACTATGTCGACCTTAACGCTGCGTACATGAGGTTTGTCCAATATATTCCGACTGGAATTCCAAACGAAGATGGTGAGTTCCCGGGAAGGAACTATACAGTTGGAAAAGTCATACAACAACTGTATGATATTAGGAAAGCTTCAAACCCCAAACTTGCAATGACACTCAAATTGCTTATGAATTCGACATGGGGATATTCCATTAAAAAACCTCAAGAGATGAAGAGTAAACATTATGAGAAGGTCGACAACTTTGTTGAAAGGTTTTCTCCTTTTGTTTTGAAATACGAATTTACCGAAGGTGAAAGTGGCTTAGTAACCACATTAAAACCTATTGTCGAACATTGGTCTTACCCTCAGTTCGCAAAGGCAGTCCTTGACAACTACAACAAATTCTTCTCCGAAGTCAAATCCAAAGTGAAGGTTTACTATGAGAACATTGACGCACTCATGACGAACGAAGAAGGATACAACAAACTCATTGAAATGGGAATGGTCGGTGAAAAGATGGGCTGTTTTAAGCTAGATAAGGTATTTTCCGAAGTTCATGTCCTCTCCAAGCGTAAGTACTGGGCTGTTAAAGAAGATGGTGAAATAGTTAAACATTGCATGAAGTAAAACGTTGCATGAAGTAAAACATTGCATGAAGTAAAACATTTTTTAAAACAATATATTTTTACATATATTAAATGCTTCAGGTTGAAAGAATACGGTGGAGCCAAAAGTGGCTCGACCTCAAAACAAGCATTTTATGAGCTTACAAAGGGTGTTATGAATGAATTCAGCAACATACATCCTGACCTCGTTCATTTTGTTGCTAAATTCAGTAAAAATAATGTTTAGGTGAAGAGGTGACATCTCACCCGTTTTCTCACCTCTTTTCTCACCTCATGAATTTTCATGAATTTCATCGTAAATGTTTTGTCGAAACTTCTTCATCGTAAATGTTTTGTCAAGACTTCTTCGTAAATGTTTTGTCGAAACTTCTTCATCGTAATGAGCGTAAATGACCCAAAAATAATGTTTAGGGTAGAAGGTTAGATATAACCCGATTTCTAACCTCTTTTCTACCCTCATGAATTTTCATGAATTTTCATGATTTCTTCGTAAATGTTTTGTCATGATTTCATCGTAAATGTTTTGTCGAGATTTTTATCGTTGTGGTCCGACGGTTAAGCCACAAACGAATGTCCGACGTCCCACCAAAAAATATTTTTTATTTTTATTGTAAGAACAGAAATGTCAGTCGAAGCAAAAACGTTCACGAACAAATCTAATGGCGAAACATTCACAAAAGGCACTTACAACGGTATTGAAGTCTTACGTAGAGACAAGGATGGTTATATAAATGCAACAAATATGTGTCAGCAGTTTAGGAAGGACTTTAGAAGGTTGTTGGAAAATAAGTCCTGGGAAGAGTATTTTGAGGCATTTTGTGAAGAATATACCAACCCGCGGAAAACAGCGGGTTGCTTTTTATACAAAATTCATGCAGGAATTCCTGATGAAATCAAACAGGTTAGAGGAATGTATGTAGACCCAAGACTTGTAAACTATATAGCAATGTGGGCTTCTCCAAAATATTGCATAGCAGTTGGAAAAATTATGGACTCCATAGACAAGAAAGTTCATGAGAAATTAGATGAAGAAGAACTTGAAGATACAGTAGAGAATGCAAAACCTTTGTTCGAAGAAGAAGTTAGAAAAATGCATGAAAAACAAATAGAACATGAACGTGAGATATGTTCTGGTTATAGAGACTCTCCATACGAACTAGACCAATGGGAACAAGAAGATTTAAAGAGAGAATTTAGAGAATATGAACTCGCTAAGATAGCATTTGAAGCTGCAGAAAAGAAGTTAAAAGTTTGGGGTCGTTTTGTAAAAAAATATTGTGAGTAAATGAACCATTTATTTTTATTGAATTCAGCAAAAATATAATTTAGGTGAAGAGGTGAGATGTCACCCGTTTTTTCACCTGTTTTTTCACCTCATGAATTTTCATGAATTTTCCCGAAATAAAAAATAAAGTTAGTTTTTTTAAAAAAATATTTTTTATTTTTATTGTAAGAACATGTTAGCAACAACAGCACCAAACTCGTTAGTCATGAACCCAACTTCAATGTTAGTAGAGATGAAAAGCTTCATTCCTTCTTCATATACTTTCGAAACAGAAATCCAGAAGATAAAGCAAGAACTTTTAACAAGTAATTTAGACTGTAGTGCGAAAGATGAAACAAATGAACAGTATCTTTATGAAATGCAGGACATTATTGACCATTTGCCTAAACTACCTGAAATCCAACAACAAAAGCTCACTATTCCTGAATTCGACGAAATTGAAGTCAAAGCAACTGACTCAGTAGAAATAAAGAAGTTCATACGAAAGGTAAACTATGAGTTTCTAGGATTTCATTGCAACCATAAGGTTATGGACAAAGATTGCGACATGGTATATAAGAACATCTCTGACATATATAAATCTGGGGAGTTTAAGACATACGACAACTTTGTTTCGTTAGTTGCTGAATGTGTATGGCAGATAAGAGATAAAGATAGAAGAGGTAAGGTATGGAATGAACAGATAAAACCCGCAACTTTTGAGTTAAAGAGAGCAATTGACGCCTTAGTTGTTTTAGCAGGTAAGGTTTCAGAATATAACGCAAAAATGAACCCACAATGTTCTAAATGTAAAGCAGCAATGAGGAAATATAACTACTCCGTCAAAGAGATAGAACGTATGCGAAACGACTATGCTGACTTAAAGAAAGAAGCAGAAAAACCAGCAGAAAATAAAATGGATATGTTAGCATTTCTGAACAAAAACTATCCAACAGCAGAAGATTTCCTATTATCTGACGTCAAGAAGAAGTATAAAGAAACTTTCGGTATCGTTAAAACATTCGATGTACTGACAGAAGAAATAGAAGCTACAAAACTGTTTAGGATTTCAAATATACATCGTACAATTCATGTAAAACGCTTATAAAATAACAGGTGAGAAAAGAGGTGAGAAAACGGGTGAGATGTCACCTCTTCACCTAAACATTATTTTTTGCTGAATTCAGCAACAAAATTCTGAGTAAAATAATTTTTAGGGCATGTGTCAAACCGTTGAGTTTTCACAAAATTTAAAAAATAACTTGGGTGAGAAAAGAGGTGAGAAAACGGGTGAGATGTCACCTCTTCACCTAAAATATATTTTTGCCGAGTAAAATGACCAAATTTCATTATATAACTGTTATTTTTTTACGAAGAGAACTTTGACACTTCGTAAAAAAAATCCCTGAAATCATATCTTTTATACAAAATTCAAGAGGTGAGAAAACAGGTGAGAAAACGGGTGAGATGTCACCTCTTCACCTAAAATATATTTTTGTCTGATTTACGCTCATTACGATGAAGTCTTGACAAAACATTTACGAAGAAGTCTTGACAAAGCATATACGAAGAAGTCTTGACAAAACATTTACGATGAAATCATGAAAATTCAAGAGGTGAGAAAACAGGTGAGAAAACGGGTGAGATGTCACCTCTTCACCTAAAATATATTTTTGGTCCGGGAACAACTTTCTCTCAATTGGAGCTGTGGCATAATCTTTGCGTAAACGGTTCAGACCTTCTTCGAACTCTTGGTCTCTCTTCGATTTGGATTGAGATTGGAATTGCTGGAACATCCAAGGGTTGGGGAAGTAAGGCATAGGCTGAGGAGGGTAGTTCGGGAAGCCTTGTAGTGGAAATTGGTAGTAACCTTGAGGTGGAAATTGGTAGTAATTTGGATTGAGATTGGAATTGCTGGAACTGAGGTGCAGGGGCTGGTGCTTTAGGTTCCTCTGGTTTGAGATTGGACTCGGTTGGTGGGACGTCGGACATTCGTCTGTGGCTTAACCGTCGGACCACAACGATAAAAATCTCTGCTCCTAGCAGTACTGCTACTGACAGTAGCAGTACTTTTACTGACAGTAGCAGTACTTTTACTGACAGTAGCAGTACTTTTACTGACAGTAGCAGTACTTTATCGTCGAAAACCCTCTCAAATTTTCCTTTTTACTGACATTAGCAGTACTTTTACTGACAGTAGCAGTACTTTTTCTGACAGTAGCAGTACTTTTACTGACAGTAGCAGTACTTTTACTGACAGTAGCAGTACTTTTACTGACAGTAGCAGAGATTTTTATCGTCCAACTTTACAAATGTAAACTTATATCGTTCTATTTTCTTCACTAGGGTCTAACACCAAAGTAACCTATGTACATGAAATTTCACTGCATAAAAGGAAAAAAACCTGCGCGAATCGGGATTTGAACCGAGGTCTTCGACGCCTTTAACGAGGTAGCCCATACCACTGAGCTATGAGCCGCTTGCATATTTTTAAGTAAAATATAGTATATTTGTCATACCGTGAAGGATGACCAAACTTAAAAAAAATAAAGTTAGTTTTATTTTTATTTATTTTTTTATTTTGTATGTAAAGACAGATATGTCAACAACAGAGAACACAACAACAGTTATAGTCCATGAAGCTATAAATGAAGAATATGAATGGATACAATATAACAAACAATTGCGTCTAATTCGTTCGGTCAAAGACGATATGTACCAAATGCAAAGTATTTTGACGGCTTGTTTTGCTCCAGACACTAAACACGCAGACGACTGGTTCAAAAACCAAAGCACACAAGAACTTTTGAGTGAAATTTCTCTAGACCGAACTTTTTCGGTCTTGCATAAAACACATGAAAATCGTAAAAATTTGCCAATAAATTTAAGAGGATATTATGTACATAGACTTCTTGTAAATGCAGTTGCAATGTGGGCTTCGCCTCGTTATGCTTGGCATGTTTACAAACTTCTTGACGAAATTCACAGACAAGAACGTGAAGAGATGGAAAAGAAACTTCATGCAAAAGATGAAGTCATTGAAGCAAAAGACAAAAGCATTCAGAAAAGAATACCACGTTCGGTACCAAAAGGAAAGGAAAAGAACTATAAGTATATGATTTATACTGAAGAGATGGAAAATGAAGAAGACAGAGATATGGTTATGTTGCATTTAGTCAGAAGAAACAACAAAAGCTTTTACGACCTTGCTAAGATTTACAAATCTGACAGAAATTGGTTCTATCGCGAAAACTTACCGATTTCAATGACACCAAATGAAGATGTGAAACAAATAGTTCAAGATACGTTACCTCAAACACACTATGATATTAAAGGTTGTACAATTCTTACCTTCAAAGAAGATTTGCCATTGTTAAAGGAAAAAATAACAGAGTATTTTGACAACTTCAAACAAGCAGAGTAAATTGCACTCTTTATTTTTACGCTTGACACCAAAGATGGCTCAGGTAGCTCTATAAGGTAAATTGTCTTGTCCGAGTCCTTCCTTCCAACATTCCGAGTCCTTCCTTCCGACAGGAAGAACTCTTGCATCCGACAGAAAAAGTTTTTCCCGACAACTGGAAGAACTCTTCCATCAGACAGGAAAATATTTTCTTGACAACTGGAAAAATTTTTCCAGTTGTTCGTCCGTAAACCATTCAAATTTTCGAAAATTGAGAACTTTTTGGTCGAACGACAGAAAAAGTTTTTCCATCCGACAGAAAAATATTTTCCCGACAACTGGAAAAGTCCTTCCTTCCAACTGGAAAAGTCCTTCCATCCGACAGGAAAAGTCCTTCCATCCGACAGGAAGAACTCTTCCATCAGACAGGAAGAACTCTTCCATCCGACAGGACACAAACGAATGTCCGACGTACCACCAACCGACAGCCCCAAAGCCAGAAGAACCGACAGACCCAGCACCACAACAGACTTACTAAGACTAAAACACTTAGATTTTTCAAGCTTGACTTTTTACAATTTGAACTTTGTTCGCGTAGATATGAATTCTGAAAGAAGTATGAGGGTCTTGTATGACTTTGTACCTCCCCCATAGTTCATGTCTGTCAAACTTACCTGCCATGGACTCTTTCATAAGTTCCATGAAATCGTCTTCGGACAATCCGGGGAAAAGTACAATGTCAGTAAGTATTCTTTTAACATCCTTACTTAAACTCTTGGCTGTCTGTACACAAATGACAACTGAGATGTTAAAGTGTCTGAGCTTCTTAAGAATTCGACACATGTCTTGTTCTCTATTCTTTAACAAAGGATGAGATGCAAAGTCGTCTAAGATAAGAAGACATCTGTGAGGGTAAGTCTTCCAATCGTAAGATTGCAATTTCTTCGAAATGTATTCTATCTCTTTCTGTTTGTTTCTGAAGTGTTTCTTCTCTAATATTCTCTGCATTTCCTCATTTGGGTCTTTAAACTTCGAATTTATATACTCATTTATAGCATTGTACTTCAAAACTCTTCTTTGGTACTTCTTTATCCAATCTAACAACTCAGAGTCTTTTATACATACTAACTTAGACTTTTTTATAATATCTTTGAACGAATTGACGGTTTGGTCAAATTGACCAGAAGTACTACAAATAACAACTAACTCATAGAATGGGTTCTTCTCATCTAGTTCTTGTTGTTGTGCAGCCATTTTAAGATAAGTGAAAGTCTTACCCGACCCAGGTGGTGCGATTAGACCTGTTATACCATTCTGAGCAAATAAGAACTTGTCATGTATGGGTTTTATCTGAGCATTTTCCAACTTCCTCTTGTTCTTATTTAAAACATTCTCAAATTTCTTGTCAATGTCAGCAAACTTTTTTTCTAACATATTTTTAGAAAAATTAAAATTTTTATCTTTTGAAAATGTCTAGCGATTTCGCTATCTATATTCGAGACAAGCTTTTCGACAGCAAAACATCTGTCGACCATAAAATCTTACATAGTGTAAACAAGAAAGGTGAATTTGTTCTAAAGTTCTGTTTCTGGGAATATGACAAGAACCATAAAACATTACAAAGAGCAGTCTTAAAATTTGTCAATGACAGACTTGTTGACAGAGATGACGCCGATTGGAAAGATGAAGTCCAACAAAAGTTCTTAGAATGCAAAGAAGACACATGCGCTGTTCTTGAAGATGAAATAGAAAACAGAATAGATGAGCTATTAAAGGACAAAGAACTTTTACATAAATATGGTTCGGAGAAATTTGACATAACTCCACCAGAAAAGAAGAAGAGAGAAAAGAAAGAGAAGAAAGTAGAAGAGAAGAAAGAAAAGAAAGTAGAAGAAGAGAAGAAAGAACCTGAACCAGTTCCAGAGAAAAAGAAATTTGACATGTAAAAATAAAATTTTATTTTTAGAACATTTCTGGGTCAATGTCAATGTTCTCTTCCTCTTTAGGAGCAAACACTGGTTTAGACTCTAAAATCTTTTTACCCAATTTACCTTGAACTTCAACTATCTTAGACTCATAATATTCATAGTCGTCTGCTTTCTTTGGTTCATAAGGTATAACAAGTTTGTATGCTTTGCCTTCTTTAAGGTTTGAAAACCTTCTGTCAAAACTTTCTTTGACTGTTAACAAACCTTCTATGTCTAAGTCTTCAAAAGTTGCACCACTTTTTCTAACAACAGCAAACTTAACTGGTGCAATGTTCCAAACTTTGTCAAATGTAGACTTTTCAAAATTATAGAAGTAAACATTCAAATATGCGAATGGAGCTAACTTATCTTTGACTTCTGTCATGTACTTATTTACTGAGATGAATTTTGCCATCTTTTCTATCGGATAAAAAAATATTTTTTTTTAAATTTACTCAGAAAAATTTTTCTTTGTATATACGCCGTTCTGTATGTCTAAAAGATTTTTGACATTTGCCAAGAATGTTCGTTTAGACGCTGCCATATAACCATATTCTTGACAATATTGTTTATATTCATCGTACAATGACCTTTCATCTAAACACTCAAAGTTAGTCTCATCTATAAACAGTTCATATACACTCTTGTTTGCTTCTAACAATGTTTGTCTCTCTTCGGTATATGGAATTTGTCTTGGATTGAACTTAGAAATATCTAATGTCATAAAATATGAGAACAAGTGGTTGTAAAAGTCAGATGTCAAAGTTTCTGCTAAGTCGTCAAAATATTCTGTATCTTGCATATGAGAATCTGACGTTCTGACAACTACATATCTTCTGTCAGAACTTTCTAACTTCATCGGAACAGCATTGTTTGAAACCATAATGAAGTTTGCAACATTTTCACAAACTCTTTGGTCTTTATATTTTCTTTCAACAACTCCAACTTTGTCTGTTATAAGACTCTTCAAAGCATCTGAGTTCAAAACTTTTGTTGTATCTATACTTTGAAGTTCGTTACATACTATAAGTTTCATATTCTCTATTGAGGAGTTAAACTTGCCACAGATGTTTTCTAAGTTTGTCATATTCGGATTCGAATAACCTTCTAACAGTTTGCACAAAATATCTGTAAAGAAAGTGTTCTTACCAGTTCCTTGTTTTCCAATTATAATGAGAGCAGTTTCATTTTTAGCACTTGGATGTTGTAAGATGTTTGCAAACCAACATAAGATATACTCATAAACCTTTTCGTTTCCATTGCATATAATTTCTTTGACATGGTCTAACCAAGCTTCTATAACATTTTCTTTCCATTCTACTTGTTCGTATTTATATCCAGTGAAGATAGAATAGAAGTTTGGAGAAGGTGTATAGAACTTTATACCTCGAACTGAAAAATCTTCTAACTTTGACAATAAGATATCCCAAGCATCTAACATCTTCATACCAACTTGTACGACTTTTTTTTCTTAAGTTTCTGTCTACATTCTTGTTCAGACACTATTGTTGCTCTTGGTTTGTTAAAGACAACATCCCATTCTTTCATGACATAACATTCTGGGGCAGAGTCAACATAAATGACTAAACGTTTCAAATTCTCGACTGCTTTGTTATAGTCTC